TGGACCTTCTCCAAGGTTCTTTCTCTCTTCTGTTGGTGAAAAAAAAATGTGGGTCAGTAAAGGGTCCATATGGCGAGTCATTGGGGATGCCTGTCCTACCCACCCCTGGTCAACAACACCCTCATTGTGACTAATCATTTTCACTATGTAACTGACAACAAACAAATCACTCAATTAGCAGGGTTCTACTCCATGACAGTGGAAGAGACAGCTGAGATCACGGTGGAGTCCCAAGGCTTTGGTGACCCCTACAGGTGTTCATTCAGAAGAAGTGAGTTTTTTACCTACGAAAGCTCATGCCCAAATAAATCTGTTATTCTTTAAGGCGCCACCTGACTCCTTGTTGTTTTTAGTAAGATCTGCAGTAACCCATCCTCGCCATTCCTATAGTCAGCCACAGCATGGTTTGGGTTTGCTGTGTTGTGGGTTGGTTGGGGCTATTTTTAGGGCATAGTAGAGAATAAATCCCCACCAGTCTTTCAGCACCCCAGCTGGGAAGGCCTCCCTGAGGAAAGATAATCAAGGTGTGGCCAGTCTATCTGTATAAAGCCCTTCAAACTGGAGTTAGCTATTCCCATGGGAAGCAGAGACAAGTTTTCTGGTCAGCCAGAGCAAGGAATAATGGCAACAGAGAAGTCTCCGGGAATGGGCAACAGGGGATAGATCACTTGAAATTTACCTTTTCTGTGCATTCCCTCTGGGGCACCTGGCATTGGCCACTGTTAGAGGCAGGATACTGGGTTAGATGGACCTCTGGTCCGACCCAGTGTGGCCGTTCTTATGCTCAGACCCTGGCTTGGCCACAGTCCTAGGAAGCACCATAATGATGGTATTTGACCTTTCAGAATAGGCAGCAAGGAAAGGTCATGTTGCTTAGGGAGCAAACAGCAAAAAGACCAGAGCAGAAAACATTTAGCCAACTTCAGTTCAGTTAGTTGTGCTCATTAAAACATGTTTGGTATCTGAAATCATCCAAACATCTGTTATTCCTGCTTTGGCATCAAACTAGTGGACTAGAGTCCAACAGTTCAGAGAAGAGAGCTAGAACCTGTTCTTTTTTGAGTTCTACATAAAAGTGCAGCACGTTTGATACAATTGATGATAAAAATATTAAAGCAATGCAGGGAAGTAAGACGGGCTCTTTCCTAAGGGAACACACATCATTGTGGTGATATCTGATTATGGGCTATTCAGGAATCCAGGGGATCTCCAAAATGGGATCCCAGGGAGATGGCATGTGGTGGTTAATGAAAAAACTGAGAGTCAGGAGAACTGGGATCTAATCCCAGACTGGTCTCTAACTCACTCACTAACTTTGGCCAAGACACAACTTCTACACGCCTTGCTTTTCCATACTTTAAAAAAAAAAGATATATACATTTTCCTCCCTTGTTAGAAGATTTGATTAGTTGACGTTTTTAAAGCATTTTTGAAATTTTAGTACACAGTGCAAAGGCTTATTAAACGAAATACAATTTTTTATTTTATTTTATTTCTTCTTACATATGAAATCATAACAATAACGTACTTCAACCCATTAATGGAGATATTCAACAGAGTTTACTGCCCTAGAGCTAAACCAGATGCATCACTACCACTATTCAAAATTGGATGGGACAGAGCACTGGAGACCATGCAAAGACACAGAAGAGGTTAAATTTTCTACTGGAAATTTCTACCTTTTACTTCTATGATTTTACTATCCTGGGGCTGCTGGGGGAGAGCTGAATGTTTTGATGTGTACAATGTCTTTAATAACATGTACACATTAATGAATGAACTTGGCTGTTTGGAGGACCCATCTGATTAGAAACATGCCAAGCTACATCTAAAAGGACTTTCATGTCCTTTCCTAGGATGGTGGTGTAATTTTTCTGGGTTGTCAATGGCTTTGCTTCTCTTAAAACAGACACCCATGGGAGTGGATGATCTAAGGAAAGGAATATTTCCAGACTCTAGCTTGGCCTCTTTGCATTTTCACACCCCTGTGCCATTTCCTCACTGCTCTGAGCACGGATTATAACTCTACCAGGTTGCATTTTACATTTCACTGCAGGCTCTGAGCTTCTTGTCACCCAGAAGAGTCAAGATGATTTCACACACACGGCTTTTCTCAATAATGGGTTTTTTTTGTGTCTGTGTTGTTTTTTGTGTGAGTTCAGGGTAAGAACAAACAAAAAGATGCAAATTTAAAAAAGCTTTGGTGGTTTATCTGGTATGGGACGCCATTCCGAGTATGTTTAGTTCCTAATTCATTTAATCATGTGAAAATGTACATTTTAAAAATGTTGTGGCATCCACCGAATTTTCTTT